CACACACACAAACAATACCAACAATAATATAATGATGATGTCATGTCATCTACCATAGGCTCCCTGAAACAATCTGGTTTTTAAAAGTTTATGGAAAGCCAATAACACGAGGGCCAATCTGATTTCCAGCTGGCAGCGAATACATAATTCAGGTGCCCCCACTGAGAAGCAACACTTGCAAGCCTCAATTGCCCCCACTTCAGGAAAATGAGAAACCAAAAGCCCTTTCTCCTGGGATGAGCAAATTGGATGGTCGAATCCAGCTGGAGAAGACTACCCTGCAGATACATCGGTCCCAAGCCAAAAAGGGTCTACAGAGTTGAGCCAACAAACATACCACTACATTTTGGATCAATTATAGTTTCCCAGTGTTCTTCAAAAGCAGCCTTGGGTATAGCCTACTGCAGTAGTCCAAGTAAAATTACGGCCTTGGGCAGAACTTCCATAGACATAAATGGAGTATGGACACCTCTTCCATTAACCAAGTAACTTCATACTGCTCTCTTGGCTGTTTTTTTTACCACCATTCCAAGCAAAGCAGTATCTTCTGAGTCATTCCACGATATATTGTCTAGTTGGGTCAGAGCATAAGGTTTTTCGTGCTAAAGTTATTTATACATTGTCATGTTTCTAATTCTTCATCGGTTGAATATCGCCGATGTTTAAGATTTTTATTAGAACTATGGAGTTTGCACTATTTCATATTTTATGAGAGAATTCATCTACATTTTGTGGAACTTGTTCTTAGCTGTACAACCTATCCCTGTGTAGGAACCATCCCTACTCTTGTTTTGAAGCAGATATTTGTCCTCTTGTAGAACGGTATAGGTGGATATAACAGGAAAGGGGGTAGGAAAATGTTTTTGCATGCACAGCATGATGTTCTTGGAATAGTTGAGTGTGACTCATTGTCAGTCATCTTTGCAACGCAAAGGATAAATCCAGAATTTCAGGAGCAAACTCCCAGATGTGCTATAAGACTATTCCTGTCCCCTTATCTGCATTGCAAAATCAAGTGACCCTTGAAAATCTGCTTTTGGAAATTTTCAGCCCTCGAAAGCAGGCCAGGTCAAGAAACAGGCAGGGCAGGCATTCCAGAAATACTCTGTATACCAGAATCTTGAAAGGGCTGTCAGAGTTTTTGTCTGCCCCATCTTATACCAAACTAAATCAAGATTATTTTGAGTTTCTTTTTCATACTCTCCTCTTTCTCAGAATTGACTAATCTTTTCTTAGAGTCTCCCCTTAATGGCTCACTCATTTCTTCTCCATTTGCAAGATCAGGTCTACATTATCTGCCTTACAATTCAGCCTTTTGGAGATGAGTTTAATGTTCTTCCAGAAAAGTACAAGATCCATGTTCAGAAACAACCCAAGGGACACCCCAGCAGTGCAAAAGAGGAATTGGGAGGAGCCCTGGGTTGACATCCTTCCTGCTTCAGCCCATGATATGGCTGCAATTGTGTACATCAAATGCTGATTGTAACGATCTGCCATCCGCTGATCCCAAATCCAGTAACTTTCCTTTGCAGGTGCTTCCTGTGATGCCAGGAGGGGGGTTGGAGGATA